TTTGATTTGTAATGAAATATATTTCAGCAAAGGCATTCATATTTCTAGTAAAATTGCTAGTAACTAAACAGGTGGATGCAGAGAGTGTGAAGAAATTTATGTGAAAAATTATTAAAACTTCACATGGTAGGATTTGCATTCTTTGGCCTTAAATGTGCAGCAAATTTTGGGGAATTAATTTCAGCAAATATTATTGAGTTATGGATAATATAATTTGCAAGAACCTTTTGAAACAAAACCTGTATTTTGCAAAGGGCTAGGAAGTGACTTTCATGCCATAGATCAATCTGTCCTATCTGCCACAAGGAAAATGAAGCAGGTTCCTGTACAGACTCATATATATCCTTGGTTTTGTTAGACGAATGCAATTAAAATAGTTGTGGACTCCAAAGTTGGGATTCCATGTAATTTCTCTAAGCATAGGAAGTATTATGTTAAATACATAACCCCTGTCTTTTGTGTAGTCACAGCAGGGGTCTTGATTGTTCAGAACTTTAAAAAATGTCAAATGACATGTTTTAACATGCTGTTTGACATTTTTTAAAATTTAAATTTAAAAATTAAAAAATTTACAAGACATTTGAATGCAAATTCTAACAATATTGTGTTTATCATTTCAGGCAGTAAAACTGGCCAATATTGTGGGGCTCGCACAAGAAGCCAGGGTCGATGTACAGTTTGAGCTGCCAATATAACACAAACTCTTAGAAATAAATTTACTCACAATTTATTTGCGAACAACCTATGTATAAGCTCATTGTGTGGTCAGTCAGTCAGTCATTTTATGTGGTTTCAAAAAGTGAAAAATAGTCACGATGATCTGTTTGTGGAACAAGCTTTGGTACTATATTTTTAGTTTGCATTTACTTGAACATGAATGGTCTTCCACTTTCCTTACCTTAAGTAAACTCTGTTGTCCAAGCTAAGGTAAGGTGTAAGAAATATAAGTCCATGACCTCAAGTTTTACCTTACAGTATACATAACAGTTGCAGTTTTTTTTTTTTACAAAAAGTTTGTATTTCAAACACAAAATCTCTGGAGTGTTTTGATCTCTTTGGCACATTTACTTTTACAAATTTATTTTTTTCATAATACTAGTAATTATGAAAAATAATCAGTTATTTGGAATGGACAGAGGCTTATAATTGATTGTAGGGCCTTACTTGGATGTTTTTAAGAAGAACAAAAAAAGTTACCCAATTTATGCTATTTCTAACCCCATTGCTTTCATTGACAAGAAAACTATAGACATTTTTCTCCTGTGACCTGTACCTAATGCCAATAGTTTTTGACTTTGTAATGCATCTTTTTATGCCAAAGCTTCCACATATTTATTAACGCAAAATCAGAACAATGTAACATATTATTTATAACCAAAAACTATTACATGTACACAAACATATTGTTATACACATTTACATATATATTATTCCCCTACACTGTGATTACCCATTGCAACCTTGTCTTTTGTTCTATTTTAATAGGCATGATACAACAGCCTGTAGTTATTCGTGATATATAATTTTACACTGTATATATTGATACATATGTATACATGAGTAAGTGAGTTACTTTAAACTAGAAATTATTTATATAGCATACAATATGCAAGTTGATGTTATGTGTTTAGTGTGAAAGTGATGTTGATGTTTTTCGGCAAGATTTTTAATCCCCCACCTCTTAAGAATGTTTTCTCAAATGTTGATTGTGAGTGCAATGTTTAATGTAAATGTCTTAAAACCATGCTGTCACGTGCTTTACTTCTTTTAATCTAAGATAAAGAATTGAAAAAAAATATATAAGACAAAAATATTGTCAGTAGTGTCAAGTTTTGCTCAGAATGCATTTTGGACCAAAATCTGCTGCCCCCCCCCCCCCTCTCACCCACCCAAGCATAGTTGGAACACTATTGTATTATCAAGTGAAGGAAAAGAGCACTGTGTTCCACATAAGTGTTACCCTTCCTTTTGTTTGTTTGTTTGTTACAGGGATAGGGTTACTGATAAAAAGACCCCAAGTAGCCTTTGTTCCCTTTTTCTTTTTTCAAGAGCATTGGTGAACTTGTGCCTCCTTCCTTCGTGCATTTAACTTGTAAGGTCGTCATGTTTAGATACCTTTGGCTCGACCAGGTTCAAGACTTGATGAATATGTTGTTTGCACTAAGGTTGTACATGTTTGGTGTTCATAGATATCTCATATTTAGATGCATGGAATATATATGTATACCGCTGTATGATACCACTGAATTAACTAAAGGTCGTGTTTTATATCTCAGGTATGCTGACAACGTTATATGAAGACTTGTTAAAATTATCTAAAAAATAATAATACCAGAGCGCATAGAAGGGTTTGTTTAGCATGGTTTTGGTACACCAAAATGTTTGGGATTGCTAAGATCAAATGATGAATAAAAAAAAACAAAGGTTATAAACAAAGGTTATGTCTTTTTAATGTTATGTATTTTATTTTCATGAGCTTCGAGTAAAATGTAAAAATTTTGTTAAAATTTTAACCAAGATTACAAAAATGAAATGATGAAAAATTAAGCCAAATAAGGTTGTTGTTGATAAGATTTTCCCTCTGTTTTACATACTAAATATTATCATTGTATTGTTTATTAATTATCATGTTGCAGCAGCGATTTCCTAACACCCAAAACCCAAAATAATGGAGAAACGTAAAATTTAGCCTAATATCCGTTTTCAGATCTTGTTTAAATGACACAGTACATATTCGTTCTTATAAGGTGTTTAACTAATTACCTAAAAATAATAATGAAATTAAATACATAAATAATAACAAAATAAACATTCAAATACCAACCACGTGTGGATCACCTGCAAATTTAAATTTTTCATTTCTATCATAGGTAATTAATTAAATTATTTTGAAGATGACGCATGCTTAATATAATGATAGTATCTAACATGCCCCGTCACTTTGTCGTCACTATCAGTCGCGTACAAAACACTTATTAGAGGTATCCTATCTTGCAGTAAATCTAATTTCCCTCAAGGAAAAAAAAAATCAAATTTCTCCTTTTCGCAGTCCTTTGCTCGACCCGTCCGTCCACTTGAACTCGATGCCCCATATAATTTGTAATTCAATAATTTATTTCTTAATGTCTAGTCAGATATTTGGCATGTAGACTGCCATGCCTTCACGTTTCCGAAGGGAATATTAACATCAAGTACTTTTATTTGAGTTTTATAATCGGTTTTAAGGTCTGAATTGGGGAAAGATAAGTAGCCTTGCAGGATGTGTTTGATACGTGGCCAAAGAAAATACCCGTATAATGTCTTTTGGGCATTTTTTAAACAAGCATTCAGTTACAATGGTTGGCCAGACATTTAATGAAGCAGTCTTAAATGTGCACCGTGCCAGCAATATCCCGTTCTAAAGAAGAGCACCCCTGAATTCCCGAGTCATCGCGGTGAGAGGATCCCGGAACTTCTTTGAAGCCACCGTCGTCCTGCAGACATACTGCTGGGCAAGTTGTGTCCTTCTTGGAGCCTCGGGATGGACCATGGCAACATCTACTTAAGGTAGTCACGATCGAGGTCAGCAATTTGAGGACCTCCAGCCTGAAGTGACGGCTGCTGATGCAGTAGCAGAGGAAATTGACAGCATTGTTGGTGTACATTAATACGACAATGACGCTGAAGATTAGGTAGTTTGAAGCGCGTCCTTGGACGTCGTTGTCGTACTGAAAAGGAAAAATGCATGGTTGAAAGTAAAAATGATTTCATTGTGATGAAGACAATAAAGGATCCGTACAATAACCAAGATTTAAAAATATACCAAAATGTATCAAAATAATCAAACGGGCGAAATTAAAATTATACTGAACATGATGCATCCAACACAGGGAACGTCAGGATTTTACGATATACCACAAATACACTCAACTAATTACAGAAATTTAAAGCGAAACTTTCACTTAAACTACTAGATATAAAAAAAAAAAAAAAAAAAAAAAAAAAAAAAAAAAACTCACGTGACTCATGTGGATAGATGGGTCGTTGTAATCCATTATCAAGTACACAGAGATGGGGGTTGTGGTGATCACAAACAT